AAAAAAAGGACTACATTTTTAAAAAATGTCAGTCTCATTAAGACAAAAGGTGACTATAAAACTATTTCAGAATAATGGAAACTAAAGAATCATGACAACTAAATGTGTTACTTGACCCTAGATTAGATTTGGTACTAGAGGACATTTTGAGTCTACTGAAAAAACTGAAATATGGATGCCAGCTTAGATAAAAGTGCTGTACTGATGTAAAATTTACTCAGGCTGATAATTGTATTATGTTTGCTAACAGAATATTCCTATTCATAGAAAATACACACTGGAGTATTTGGGATAAAAGCACCATCATGTATGAACATCTTCTTCAAATGGTTCAGAAAAAAAAGAGACAGTCAAAAAATCATAAAGCAAATGGGGTAAAATGTTAAAAACAAGCACATCTGGGTAAAAAGTATAAGGGTATTCTTTGTAGTATTCTTATTCTTGTATGTTTTATGTAAATTTAAAATTATTTTCAAATAAACAGTTTAAAAATTTTAAAATAAATGGTAAGCCAAAATATTTAAATATAATTAGTTTTTGTTTGTGTTTGTTTTTGTTTGTTTATTTCACATTTATGAGAAAGGCATCCTTCCTTCTTAGGATAATGTATTTGTTCAGAAACATCTGTTTTCAAGAAAACCAACTGATACACTATACAGCCTAATGTCTGCTGAATTTAGACAGTGCTCCTATGATTTCTCTGCAACAGCGGCTCTCAAACTTGAACACGCATCAGAATCACCTTTGAGACTTATTAAAACACAGATTGTTGGGCTCCATCCCCAGAGTTTCCGACTTGGCAGGTCTAGGGTGGGACCTGAGGGTTTGCATCTCTAACAAGCTCCCAGGTGATGCTGATGGTGCTGGTCCAGACCACACACGAGAATCACTGTTATGAAGTATAGTCTGGGTCATCCATTCTCTGGATGATTTCCTGAAGCTAGAAAAAAACAGAATGATCTTAGTGTCAGAAGAACACGGCCGGCCTTTATCACACAAAAAGCATTGTTATGCATCTTCAGTTTTGAGAAGCAATTTAAATGTTGAAAAAATATAGCAATAGGTAGCCAAGTTAGGGTTTGCCTAAAAAGCATCACTACCTTAGATATTTAACCAGGAACAAAGTTAATGATGGAATGAGTAGAGGGATGTCCCTCAGTATACATTTGCCCCTTCTTCTAGAGCAATAATAGAACTTCCCATTGGGGCTGGGTACAGAATAACAATTACTTCTCCCTGCCTTCCATGCAGCTGGATATGACCATGTGATAAGTCTCACTAAGGAGATGACACATTAGTGGCATGTACAACTTGTGGGTCATGTTCTTTAAGAGAGGAGCCAAGTCTTTACACCCTTTCCTCCCTTTGAGAATGACAGAACATCTTTATTTTCCATTTTAAGAAAGGAGGGATGTCTTAGCCTCCCTTTTCCTCCTTCCTTCTGGCTAGAATATGGATCTAGCTAAGTTGGAACTGCCATCCAGGAACGCAAGGTGACCTTGGGAAAGGTCACCAAATGGTGGAGCATCAAATAGAAGGAGCCTGAGCCTGCACAGCACTGCTCCCCATTAACCCTTGGCTGCTACCACCAGACTCATACATGAGAGACACATAAATTTCTATCTTGGTTAAGCCATTATCATTGG